TCCAAAATCCCCTTACTATTCATAAAAAATGTGCCAAATTCCTTACAGAACGGCTTCAAAAAATAGTATGTGTAGGGAAAAACCAAAAGTTTATTATTTTCCGGTGTAGGGTAAGAATATTCAATAAAAGTATCCGTTTTTGAAGAAAAAAGTCTATTCCAAAATCCGAGCCAAAATCCCAATGCTGTGCTTGGCAAATATGTCATCCTGTATATATAAGGTATGACTGAACTACAGTTGACGGTTCATACAGCATACAGTGCACATTGTAAGCCAAAAATTTAAACATTGCAAATTGTATAAATGTATATTGGCATATCATGCATGCGTTGTTGTTGTTTGTAACTGTTTGAACTCCCTTCTTAATTTACAACTACTATGACTTCTTTGTAGTAGTATAGTCACTCGGAGAGAAATTGATCAGCCTACCTCCATCTGTTGATTGAAAATGTTGGAGCAAGTGCATGGTGGAAACTTTGGTAACTTCTTTCACGGAAACTAACAACTAAAAATAGGTATAGAGTTAATTAATTGTTGCCAATTTCATTTGATTTTACCATAACTTGTTTGTTGTGGTACGCATCAATGCCTTTGCATTAATGTACTAAACAATTAAGGTGTTTGCATGGGAATGCTTATGAAAGCTCTTTTGTTCTACCTATTTAACAACCATTTTTATTAGTCAAACGCTTGATTTAAATATTTCAATTACTGTATTTCCCACAAATTTTTTATTTATTGCTTATTTATTATTTAAAATTATTTTAAAGATGTCTCCTTGTAGAACACAGCGCATCGTGTAATTTATGCGCACTATAAGCATTTCATTTCTTCATCTTATTTTGATTTGGTTTTTTTACAGTCCCTTGATAACAGTGAGTATAGAGAATCAGAAAAGGCGTCCATGAAAACTGTAAACGAGTCAGATAAGCAAAAAAATAACCAGACACAAACCAAAGCCAGAGCAAACAATGAAGCTATATTATTGAAGCATGAGAAAAAATTCCCCCAAGACCAGTGGAATCAATTGCGTGTCAGCAGCAGTCTGCTAAATAACCAAAAAACGAATAGTATAATTGACAACCAACAAACATCTGAAGCAAAACCTGTGAATAATTTAGTAAGAAATAACCTATGCATTAGAACACATAGTAAACAAAACACAAAGGTAAAGAATACAATCAATGTTAATTCAAAACGTGACGAGAGCATAACAGATAATATACCAAGTGAAAGCGATAGAAAACCTTTTCTTTCCTGGATTGCTGATTTTTATCAGACAAAAAATCTAAATAGAACCATCATTCAGCACAATAATACACAACACATAGTTGATGACATCTCGGATAAAGCAAAGGAAACAAATTTTAGCACACATGCTTTTTTGCCAAAAAGTATAAATAGCAGTCAACATCAGGTACATTACGTTAATCCTAGATTGGAAGCGCCTGTTAATAACGCATGGAAACTACGTTTTTGTGCTAACACCCGCATATCTAGAAGAATTAATATATGCAAATCTCAAAGAAATAAGTATGCAATTAAACGTATTATCCAGGAGGAGTATGAGATAAAACGAACCATGGCTGTGGTTCTTTTAGGGGTATCACTGCTTTCTTTATTTCTAATTCTTTGTAATTATTTAAAATGTCTTTGAGCTAGCATTTCTTTTTCAAGATCATAGTTTAATTATGGTGTAATATAAAATAGTGTTGTACTTAGACACTTTGTATATCACAATATGGAATGAATGTTTTTGTATAAATTGTGCAGCATTATTTTTTGTTAAAATACCAAATAAAGTTGAAAGATTTTTGTAAATATAACTTTCTTCTTAGGTCGCCTAAGACGTTATTTTAACACATTTTTAGATATACAGGGTGACTTACGGGAGACGGATGTTTTTGAAATGGCTAGTGCATGCCTTCGGTAAGTGGTGGGGCGACGGACGGTACGTCATTCACTCCATTGCAGCTTACCATTTCAGTAGCAATGGAGCAGCACACTGCTCGCGCATCAATGGAAGTTGTGAGAAACATGTTTCCTGTAAAGCTGATTTCACGTTTTGGTGACGTACCGTGGCCGCCAAGGTCACCGGACTTGTAACCTTAAAAATATCGAACAAATCATCACTAATACGTACGTGATTCGCATTATTTTCCGCGTAAAATAGTCTAATAAAAATTTATTGGAGAAGAAATATTGAAGTACAGGAGACAAACCTCCTAGTCAAGTAATGTCATTTTATTGACTAGTTTTGCATTAAATTTTACCCGAAATCATATTTCAATTTTCATATAGAACATTTGACTAATGTCAATCTGTCAGTGTTGACAGGTGTCCTTACAGACATTTATAGCAATGTGACAGGTGCAGGCGATAAAGTGACAGGCGACAGGAAAAGCGGTCTGAACTGTCTCTCATAGAACCTGAACTTTCCTGACAAAGTTGGAATTAAAATGAAGGTTTCGTGACGATTTCAGTAAAAATATTTTCATCTTGTATGAACTTGTGCACATATATAAAATTCTTTATTATCATAAAATTGTCCAACAATTGTAATAGAAAAAATAAGAATATAATAACACAAGTAAAAATGTTAGTTCTATTAAAATGGTGGTTTTTTATCACACATTTATTATTGTAGCCTAATTGACGGCTGTAAGGTAACAACAATAATTTATCACATTAAAATTTCAATATCATTTTTGTATCCGGTATAAAAATGTAGAAACATGTTCGACATAGCTAAACGTGGTTTCGCATGTATCGAAAAAGAGCTCTGCGGAAATAGTTTATCTAATAAAAAAAAATCTCGCCCGCCCGTTACGAAACTATTCAAGGGAATTACAGAGTTGCCTTCCATATTGTCAGGCGTTCGATTAAAGGTTGGTAAGAAGTCTTCAAGTAAAAGCAAATCTTGATCCGCTCTCCATTTGTTACTTTCAACGGTTTTCTGGGTTGGGGTTTTATGTTTTCTCGTTTTATTCTTCTGCAGTGTGCGGTTATTAGAAGACGAACAAGGAATAATCGATTTAGAAACTTGGCTCTTTCCGAGAAAACTGGTAATGATGATAATGTTCTGTTCCTGTCTCGAACAGTTGACTGTGATTTCTCTATTAATGTCAACAATATCAGGAGTCTTTTCTATTTCAGACAATAAGGTGGTGAGTTTGTAATTCGTAGCAGAAATCTCACTCGCCCCTTTTTTCTTGTGCTGCCCTTTCACTTCGATTACTGCACTGTCCTCTGTTTTGTAACCCATTTCCTGACAAAGAGTATCGTTTAGCCATTTGTCGTCTTCATGTGGCAAGGTGGGACTTGTGTTAACCAAATTATTAACGCTTGGTCCCTTTTTTCTACGACGTCTCTTCGAACGTTTAATACCTTCAACTGCCACTTCACGTATTTGATGAGGTTGTTCTCCATTTTCCGACTTCCTTCGAGTAGATTGTTTATCACCCAATTTGGATAGATTTAGCTTTTGTACTTGAGGTTCTGTTATCTTTGGAGTCTGGTTGTCAGAATGTTTCTTGATACTCTTGCAATCAGATTCTGCAATGTCCAAGAACCAGAAACCATTCTTCAGTTCATCATGACAATCACTACCCGCATGTGGTTTCAATATTCCTTTGAGTTGGCAATCATCCAGTTTCGTACAGGTTACATTTTGTTCCAATTTTATTTCATGACCAGTTCTTAATTTTTGATTCTTGTCTATTTTTGTTTGTTGATTTCCTGCAGACTTTTGCTGTGTATTGTTTTCATCTATTAATTCGTTAAGGGATGGCCATTTTAAGGATGATAAGTTAAATGCTATTGGATTGGATTTGTTGTTGTCAACTTGTTTAGAAATACTGCCCTTCTTCCTTTTGGACCTACGCTTTCGAGTTTTTTTTATAGTATGTATGTTATCCAAAATGCTTGTGACAGTAGGTTTATTATTAGTGTCCTCAGCTTGAAACTTGAAATTTTCGCCGGGCCCAGCTTTTTTCCTATTTTCAAAAAGTGGTGGACTTTCTTTTGTTGATTGTAGTGCTTTAGTCTTAGCCTTAGTTATCAGTTTACTATTTTTGACATCATTGAAGAGCGACGACGAATTTTGTAATCTTTTTGCAGTAATCCTTAGCGAGTCACTATCATCAGATCGAAGTACTGTTTCCAATATCAATTTATTCTTCATATTTTTTTTTTGTGTGGTTTGACTAGGTGTAGTATTGTCACATTTTTTCCTAACTTTCGGATCTTGCAAGATTGTTACAGCATTAGCCAAAGGTGAAAAATTTAACGTATCAACCTCGGTATCAGCTTCGCTTCTTGTAGAAGAAGGTGTGCCAAGTGCTGGCCATTCAATTGAAGAAAAAGAAAACGGTTTGACGTTTTTAGATAGACTCTCGTTTCTTTGATCCAACTTCTTTTTTGGATGTTGAACAGGGTTACTCTCTTGATAGCCCTACAAAAAAGAGAAATGTAAATAAGTGCCTTTTGTGTGTTCATGAAAACAAATTCATTAATTGCCATTGGATTGACAAACCTACATGCGCGCTTAATACAATGTTTCCAAAAAAAATTGTATCCAAATGCCTGGTTCTATGGTTCCTCGGTCGCCAATGCAGGAAAGCAAGTTAAACATGGCGCTCCGTGATGTATGATCACGACAATATAAAAAAAATCAATCGATTAAAAAAAAATTTGCATAACGTTAATGTCCCAGCCGTTAAAACACGCCATAAAGCAGAACGCACACTATCGCGGAATGGAAGGGAATGGAACGGAACGGAAATTTTGAAAACATATAAATAAGTTAGAGTTCGCAGACTATCGCGGATCAGAACACCGCGGAATGGATTGGAACGGAATGGAAAGACTTGGATTGCTCACTCAACGAATTTTTCCACACTCTTCGTTTAGTTTAGACGAAGGCGCGTACAAAGCTGTTTCATCCTACAGGAAATAGAGTAAAATAGCTCTGACATTTGACAATATACCGTAGCCATTTTGTGTTTGTTTGATTATTGAAATGAATGAAGAATTTTTAATTAATTATATTTAGTTATATTATATGGTTATCCACATCTATATTTGTCATGCGATACAAATTTGCGTTTTTTTGTTTTCTCTCATTTCTTGCTTCAAATTCAAACTACACACAGCACTACAAATTCTTCATCTGACGTGTCCACTGCGAAAGAACATTACACCCTACAAACAGGATCAAGCAAGTCTGGTAATATAAATTACTCTTATATACAAATAATTTTGTTCCGCGAAATTCCGGGCTAATGTGCGGAGATTCAGAATTTCCATTCCATTCCGATCCATTTCATTCCGCGATAATGTGCGTCCTGCTTAATCGAATTTGTATGAATTTTTTGGTATTTGGATTAGAATTAAAAAAAATTCAAGAACTTATAGAATTGTAAAGGTTATGCAGAGATGGGCAGTGTTTTTTTTACCTAAGTAAAAATAAAACTATCCTAGTCATACAAAAAACACGCATTTATCCAGACGATTCGTTTGGTCTTTGTGACTACTTTCCGACAAACCGTTTTTGAGATATTCGCTCTTAAAGTTTTGAAATCATCAATGAATACATTTTTCCAAACGTCCTAATCGCCCTTTGTGAGTACCCCCTTCTGCTCTTAAAGTATAAGCAATAACAACAGACCATGATAACTGGTTGAGGAGGACTATGGTGTGGGAGTTCCATGAAGGATAAAACTCCCCCCCTCCATCCCGTACTTTGACAAGAGGACAGAAAGAAGGGCAGTAGTGTGTAGAAAACTGTTCCTTTCGTTGAGACCTTTAATTAGATTACAATAAGAGATCAAATTAATTTTTAACCCCCCTCCCCCAGGCCCCGTCGCTCACTGATCTCGAAAACGGGACGGGAAAGTTATAGTTTGTACAAACCAATTTATTTCGATGAGACCTTTCATTAGAATACCATGAAGGGTAGAACATGTGTTTACCCCCCCCCCCCCCATTTTTTAAAGTTTAACTTGACACCACTGAAGGCATGCGTATGCAAAATCTGAGACCAATTGGTTGTCGTATGTAAAAGTTATGCAAGTTTACTTTCAAAAACAGCATCTCAGGAAATAATTCGTGGGGGGGCCCCCTTTTTAAACAGCGAAATTTGATGACCGTCTGGCACACCTTCGAGGTATAGGCTACCTACTGCAAAAAATTCCAGGACTCTAGGACCATTTGTAATGTAAATGTAAAAAAACAACCCATAGAACCTATGAACGATGTTTCAGGAATAAACAAACCGAGAAATAAACATTTTATATCTGAATTCAGTATATAAATATAAAAAATTAAAAGAAAAGGTATTCGTCCTAAGGCGAGTTACTTTAGGGCATTTTCCATGCATTGATAAGTATGTCCCAAAAGGCCATAGCTATGTGAACTATGTTTTTTTTACTAGAAGCATCTATGGTAAAAATTTCAACAAAATATATTACCCAATATAAAATGCGCACCCGCACATTAATGGTCAAGATCTTTTTTGACTCGGTGTCAGGGCTATAAGCTACCGAATTCAAAAAGAACAAACTGAAAACTGTAGGAGTAGTTAAGGCCTCGGACGGACGGACGGAGAAATTGGTCATAATGGCGCCTTCCAACATGAGTTGGAACATGCACTAAAAATAGATTTTTTTTGTATATTGAATAGTATCATATTTCTCCTGGAAACGTATTTGCAAAGGTTCTCTCTTACTAAAATGTGTATTGGTCAGCTATTCTACGCAAAATCAAATTGGTGTCTGCTAATATTACAAATTGCGCCTGACTGCAGGTAGATTTTGTAAAATTGTAAATATTTATCTGCGGTTGCTAGAGACTGCAAGAGATTAATTAGGTACTGACATTTACGACTGGTGCGTTTTCAGGATCTTTTCTACATGTATTATGGGAGTGAAACACCCTCGGAAACACCTCTTGGACAAAGACAAAAATTTTTTTGAAAAAACAGTTGTCTCTCACTTATTGAGGGACTATAGTGCACTCATTATAAGAAGGTTGGCGCTATGTAGGGTTGCCATCCGTCCGGGTTTCCCCGGATTTGTCCTAGTTTAGGAGGCGTCCGGGAGCGTCCGGGCGGGGTTTCATTGGTAGTCCGGGTTTTAGGCCATCAAGTTTCTGTCAAAATTTAAGCCAACAAGATAAACTTTTAAGCGCCAGTCAGCTTTGGTTACAATTTTTTTAAACATCGAATCTTCATTTATACTTGGAGTTATTGAAAATTGCCTAGAGCTTTTTTTTGCACTCCTGCTCATAATGCCACCGTTGAATAAGTATATTACGCACTGAGCGCGGAAGTAGCTTATTTCTCGAAGAATGTTAACTGCCCGAGGCGCTTGCGCCGAGGGCAGTTTTATTCTGAGAGAAATAATCTTTCGCGCGAGGTTCGTATACTATTTTATTCACAATCGTAAGAAATTACAAAAAGGTTAAATAAATTGTTTAAATTTTGCTTTTTATTCTCATTAGTGGAAAAATGTCACATCAGTTCGTACAATTGTCAAACATCCGTCAATTGTTTCATTTTACGCGGCCGTACTTTTACGAAAATTTGAATTTAAAATTGAAAATGTCTGATTCAGAGGAGATTATAAGTACCCCCCCTGAGTTACGAGAAGTTGCAGAGACAGTTTCAAAAAGTATACTGCCAGATAAAAGTAAAAAACGATACGAGCAAACTTACAATTTGTACAAGGCCTGGGTGTTTAGAGAAACGTACTCCAATAGGTTCTGAAAGTTCGTTATTGGCATACTTTAACGAATTAATATCTAAAGGTTAAAAAACCCTCAACTCTTTGGGCTACGTATTCAATGTTACGCTCAACTTTAAATTTAAATAAGAGCGTAGACATATCACTAAATTTTATAATCTGATCGCCTTCATTAAGGCGCAAAACGTTGAATACAAGCCAAAGACGTCGGAGGTTTTTGGCCAGGATCAAGTAGAGAGATTTTTGAATGAAGCACGTTTTGATTATTTACCACAGAAAGTAAGTAGATAGCTATTAAATAAAACTACAATACGTATTTGACAAAGACGTAAACATTTAATTAAATTATGCTTTCTAGTGATACAAGTTCATACAAAGCCACTTTCATTACAGTACTAACTTTGGCAAAAATTGCATCATTTCTGAAATTGAAGGACGAGGTTAAATTCACGGGGCATTGTTTCCGTTGAACAGTGGCAACTCTGTTAGCAAATGCCGGCGGAGACACTCTTCAATTAAAGCAATTGGGAGGGTGGAAATCTGCATCGGTTGTGGGTGGTTATGTTGACCAGTCTCTTCATGGCCAAGAGAGAATAGCGCGAATTTTGTCGTTATCCACAAGTGTCACGGGAGATGAACAACCTAATGCTTCCATTCCAATACCCAAGTTGCTCCCGAATAACCTTTCCTGTTGCGTCTATTACTCAAGAAACAAACTTTTCTACTGAGCAGACCAAACAAGGCCTGATTGTAACTATAAACAACAGCGGTCAGTCCAATGTAACCTTTAATTTCAACAATTGTAGTTCTTGAATTTGTATCTTTCCGTGAATAGAACCGTTATTTTTTCTGCATTGGTACGTCCGTTTCTGTAAATTTGATCGATTTTACTTTATTATTAATCCAATAATGAACTTACCAAGATAATGTTATTTTGAGGTTAACGAATTACAACCAACTGGAAACCAACAGCCAATTAGACATGAATATCTATTGTACCGTGACTCCCTCAGCAACGCGCAACCGCTTTGAATATGAATTTACTTAAAACGCGCCTACGGGCAAGCGTTTGTTTTGTTTGTATACCTATGAATAAACAATGATATTACCATTACGAGTATATTTTTTACTCGTACTTTACCCCTTACTCTTAAACAGTAACGCAAATTCAAATTCTAGCGTGTTTACGGTTGCGCAGTGCCGAGGTCACTGAGAGAGTCACGGTGCAACAGAGATTCAAAACTTCATCTCATCTAGTGCGCCATCTGTGACTGATATTAGTAGCTATTACTTCCCTTCCTTAGCGCGGAAGTTCATACTTTCGAACTTCGTAATAAATATAATCTAGTTACGGCCGACTTTCAAACTTCTTAAATGAGACGAATGACTCTTATTACTAACCGATTGTGAATAAAAGAATATTTTCACTAGTGGCAAAACAGTGGACCAAAGAAAGGAATTTATTGAATATTGAAACAGTCTAGTCATTGATAAAAATAAATTAAACAAATATAGCAAACGAGCTCCTGGGTATGGCTATAGCATGTGCAATACCAAATTTTAAACCTGATGTTAGTTTTGCTTTTATTTAAAGTGTATATACATGAAATTTCATTTACTTGCTTCCGTAAATAATAAAGTTGGCATCGCGCATGCGCAAAACCAAATTTTGAACTGGCGTTAAATTTTCTTTTATTCCAAGTGGCTATGTATCAAATTTCATTTAAATACCTTCATAAATAAGAAAGTTTGCAATTCGGTCTATAAATGGTCCAGATGCGCAAAGGGCACTGTGAATGCTGATCGATTAGGTTCAACTTTTGGAATTGTGTTTTATATGGCTAAAGCTATGCGCATATTGAATTTCATGCAATTCGGTTCATAACTAACGGAGATGTCAAAAGGGCCTACTTTATTTTTTTGGCTACATTGCCAATTCACGAACTACGATCTACAAATTTGATAAAGAATCCACTTGCAAAATTTAAAAATTTCATCGTAATCGGTCCATTCGTTTATGAGTTATCGTGCTAACGGACGGACAGACACCGCAAAATTATAAACTCGCTAAGAGCTCGTTAATAAAGTACAATTTCAATGACTATTTCTTTAGACAATATTTTTTAACAAATTCAGTTGATATGTCCGGGTTTATAGTCCCTAAATGCGGGGTTTTCGCGCTTCCTGTTCTAGTTGGCAGAGTTTTGAGATGGCAAACCTAGCGCTATGTTTAAAGATAAACACACACAGTAAAAATATAAAATGGCACCAAATTATTGTAAAGTAGAAATATCCAGCACTGTGAACAGAAATAAATGTTGACATTAACCAGGGTTAGTACATACCAACCTTGAACATTAACAGCCAATGACACTTGGGTTGGGTTGTTATGTGCACTTAATATATGGGAACCAATATTTTTTTCATTAAAGTACCAGACTTGGTACACTTGCTACTTAGGTGGACCTGAATGGAATTCGCCCGGGAGGCAGCGGGAGATACGCTGCTGTGAGGGAGGGGGAGGGGGTAAACTTTTCTTACGCTGCGCGCGCTGTTGGTCGTCATAATTGCTAAATTATAACTACTAGGGCAAGTGGGGTATCATTTTTGCATAAATAAAAGGTGGTCATTCATTTTCTGAAACAAAAAAAGCATCTTTACGGACAAAAGATTGAATTACGGTCAAAAATCTTGAATTTTATTTACAAAAAAATTCTTCAAATGACCATAATCTTTGAACTAGCGCCGATATCGCCTACAAAAAAATATATTTCCATTCGGGTCCACCTAAGTAGAAAGTGTGCTAAGTCTGGTGCTTTAATGACAAAAATATTGGTGTTGGCGTATAACGACCCCACTACTTCGTCAGTTTAATTGGCAACAACCTACTACCAGCTTACAAAATTCCCCAGTCGTTTTATGTTTCAGTGTAACACTGACTCGTGTTTTAACCAATCACAGTGAAGTTCAAAGGTTCCATATGCATTTTAGCACTACCTTCTTATTCTTAAAATGAATACAGTATTGCCCAATTAATAATATAATCAGAACCACTATTGGTGTGTTCGTTGGTTTCATATGGAGCTTGCTCCAATTATATAAAGAGTTACTGAGAGTAGGTAATAACAGCAATGTGTTTGCAATAAGGCTCGCAGATATGGTACAACTACTTGCTGAAATAAATTTGTACTCCCACAAAAACATATAAGTACATACTCACCGTGAACTCCTTTAACTTGGGTCGATCGAAAGTGTTTTGAAGATTTCCAATAACCTTAGGAGTTGCAGAAGCCACTTTTGGTCCATTAACTTTGGAGGCTGATCCTACAACGGCTTTCCCTACTTTCTTCTTCTTTTTCTTTGCCTTTTTTGTTAACTGAACATGGTTGCCATGAACAGATACGCTTACGGTGTTGCTCTTTTTCTTTAAACTTGCACTGGCCCCTTGCAAAACTTTTGAAATGCTTCTTTTATACAACACAGTAGTAAAAGGTTCTATTTTCACTACATCACAGTCATCGTTTATATACAGAGGGGGTGGTTTGTGCTTGTAATACCATTCATCGAAATCGCTTTTATCACTATCACTATCACAATCTAAATTATTAGAGAAATGAATTTTATAAGCAAATTGGTCTTCGTCAAAGGTGTTCATTGTGAGATGCCTTGCAAATACATTACTCATACCTTTGTTTACAGTCGATACATATTTAATAACAAAAATAAAACAATTTCCTTAAAATACAGATAAAAAGGTATCAGTAATCACTACATTTTATCTATTTGGTGTATAATTAATAGGGGCTATTATCACAGGAGGTACTTTAAAATCAATTAAAATTTTCAAATAAAAACAACTTTCTATTCATCTATTGTAAACAATTAGCAGTTAACATAACCTAAATTGTTGGCTTCGTCACGATTTACATCTGTGGTATTCGTACAGGGTGTTACAAAAATATACCAAACAACTTACCCTTTGAGACCATAGGCGCTTTCTTTCGGCTACTTCGCAATCATGATTTGGAGATCGTGATTCGTAAGATCACGTTTTACGAAAGAACGCGCGAATTTAAATCAAAATATGGTTAAGTTTACGTAGTGCACATTTGCATTCGAATTACATATTTTTTGTTTGGATTATGAAAATAATTTAAATACAAGTGGAAGCATTGAATTTATAAGTTATAAATTCAATGGTGGAAGTACTTGCACGATTATGCTCCTCTTCAGTTACACATATTGACTAATCTAACATTTGAGCAAAAATATCCTTGCGTTTATAGGTTAGGAATTCGTGATCATAAAACTTTTATGTTCAGTTTGTTCGCGATTTTAGCAATCATGATTATAAGATCACACTTCGAAAGAACGTGATTTGACAATCCAAACGCGTTTGGATCACCGAAAGAAAGCGCCTAATAGGTCTTTATCATATGATAATTTTAAATTAAAATATGATAATGCGGAGGTGCTCGAGTGCGGATTTTCCGACCATATGGCTATTCTATTGACAATAAGTGTCGACTCTTCTATCAAAAAAGACGAGGGCTGGGTTCTAAAAAGAGTTTACTCGAATCATAACAAACGGTTTTTCTACAATGCAATCAAAACAGAAACATGGAATTCTGTTTATGAAAGCACATGCACAAACACGAAGTACGATTGTTTTGTGGGCATACTTCAGTACTACTTTCAAACAGCATTTCCTTTAAAAAAATATAAGAGTTCCTTATACACCGCCAAACACCCTCGACCATGGATTACCCCAGAAATAAGGACAATGAGTAAAGACCTTAAGGACCAACACTTCCTGTGGAAAGTTACCGGTAATCGCGATGTCCTAATCAATTATAAAATACCTACTTAAAAAGAAGTATTGCCGAATAATCGATAAAGCCAAACGCGAGTGTAACGACTACTACCTATATTACAAATTCGAACAATCCGAACAAGGCCGTGTGGCATCTAATAAACGAAAGTATCATGTCCACGCGCAAAAAAGCACCGAATGAACTCTCGATAGTGCATAACAACAGCAATGTTAAAGACCCCGCCCAAATAGCGGAAATCTTCAACAAACATTTCATAGATAGCGCAACTGCAATTGCCAACTCATTTTCTACTGTGGCTAACAATGAATCCATACCACGACGCACTTCCTGTTCCTTCTTCCTTCGACCGGTCTCGGAATCCGAATTTCTCCATCTCATTAATAAAGTATCAAAAAGGAAGTCTTCTGGCGCAGAAAGAATCCCTGGTCAAATATTAAAATGTATAGCAATGACTATTGTCAAACCATTAATCCATATTACAAACGACGTGTTTACCAGTGGGGTTTTCCCTCATTCCCTAAAAACTACAAGAGTAATTCCTGTATATAAGAAGGGCGATCGGCAGCAGGTAGGGAATTATCGACCCATATCAATCGCTTCAGTATTCTCAGGGATCATAGAAACCTGCATAGCGACACGAATATCTGATTACCTTGACAAGCTCAACTTATTCTCGAAAACACAACATATGGATTTATTAAGGGGAAATCGACTGTTTCGGGCCTTTTTAAATCTATCAATGATATTTCCGAATCCCTGGACAAGAAATTATATACAATGGGCATCTACTTCGATATATCGAAGGCCTTCGATAATTAATCGCGAACTCCTGCTGGAGAAGCTAGAAATCTATGGAATTACGTTGGAATTGGCCGGCAACTGATACAATCGTTCAGCGTTCTTATCGAGAAGATCGCAATTTGTTGAAGTTACGGAAAGAAATGGCAACATAGTTATTGCTAAATTCAACTCCTCTACTTTGAAACCCACTGTCGGCACTCCTCAGGGCTCAACTCTGGCGCCGCTCCTTTTTGTCATTTATGTAAATGATATGGATACTCTGCCTTCGAATATACCACCGCCACCCTATGCAAATACGCAGACGATACATCGGTAATTATCTCGGGTTCTGGTATGGACACGGTAGTAGATTCTGCAAATAATGCAATTCGCGCTATGTCCGATTGGTGTGCCACTAATCGGTTGAAGTTGAACGAAGAAAAAACGGGGCGGTAGTCATATATCGAAATGTCCATCTTCATACTACTGGCACTCACGCCAAAATTAAGTCCAACGGTAAAGACATAACCGTAAACACCAACCAAAAATTTCTAGGTGTAACCTTAAACGAGAACCTCAATTGGACAGTTCAGACAAGCGAACTATGCGGCAAACTACGCAGAGCCAGTTATGCGGTGCTTTGTCTGAGACACAAAGTGCAACAAACAACACTTCTTACATATTATTATGCACATATACAGAGTCATCTATCATACGCCATCACCATCTGGGGAAATTCTCCCGCTAGCAGCAGAATTCTTAAAATCCAAAAATGCATCATTCGCCGTATTTGCTATAGTGAGCCTCGGGAACACTGTAGACCTTTGTTCAAACGACTCAAGATAATGACTATTCACGCATTATATATTTATAAATGTGTGCTATACGTCTCTCTAAACCGCCACGAATTTGTAAGCAACAAGGAGGTCAACAGTGGCATGCAGACACGATATGCGGACCATCTTTCTATACCCCATCACGCTACAACTCTGTATTCAAAATCTCCAAAATACATGTGCATCAAGCTGTTCAACCATCTGCCTCGCGATATTCGAAAGCATAGCACGCATATTCACTTTAAAACAGCTTCTCGGGATTTTTTTCTCAACCACCCATACTACTCGGTGGACGAGTATTTAAATGCTTGATTGTGTTATTGTTTGTTTGTGTTACTGCGTATACTGTCCATATACATTAACTGTTTTATATGTTTTGACGCGCCAATGTTACATTTTGTAATTTAACGGCATTAAAAAGTTTATTATTATTATTATTAAAATTGCAGCAAACTGAATGATGAAAAAATCCGTATGAGCTGAAGAATATCATTATGGCATGAAAAATTCACTGAGGCAGAAAAATCAAAAGAATTCAAGCAATTTGAAGAATCGGAAAATTTTGAAGAAACAGTAAAACATGGAGAATTTGAAGAATATGAAGGGCGAGAATAATCTAAAAAATTGGGGGACTTTTCAAAAATCTTGCAAATTATAACAGAGGATTTTGAAAAATCGTGAAAATGTGATGAATCTTCACAATCTATATAGATCTTTGAGGATCAGAAGATTCTGAAGCAACTGAAAACGAAGTTGCGAAGTGATTAAATGATCAGAAAAGTTCCGCCTTGATCTTTACCCGTTTTAGTGATCACTCTGTAGATGAACACCCCGTATTTAGAAGCGTTTTAAATTGGGTAGAAGGCATGATAGTATCATGGGTAGAAGGTAAAGGTATTTGATTTAATTTCTAAACTTGTGTTTTGGCCGCCTCTAGCGTAAATAAAAGCCGCAATTAATTCCTCGTTTGCAACTAATCCCGTCAATTGTCTTTGTTGCGTCCGAAAGCTTTTGTCATTTAGAAGACGAGGGCGAATTAATATTTTCAAATTCAGCTGCGTGAAGTAATTAGTTAGATGATTTTGGTTTCCTATGTTAATTTTAAACGAGCATTAAAACGGCAAGGCCGTGCAGGTTTACGCCGTGTTATCAGGTTGACAAGAGACTACCTGACGACAATTAACGGTAGCTAAATGAATGTGTTGCATTACACAGCATCCGATTAAGTCGTGAGGGGTCTCAAAAGAAGCGCTCTTAATTAATTGGAATTTTAAGACTAATGCTCCTGCCGAAGGTCTTAAGTTGTTCTATACGCAAGTTACGTTTCGTAAGTAGCGAAATTTTGAGCTTTCCCGTAAATTTTATTTTGCATTCATACCGTTTAATTTTTTTTTGCATTAAGTTTACCGCACCGTATCTACAGTTTTTGTTTTTTTCTTGCGCACCAGTAAGTTCTACCGCTTTGTCTTATTACAAGTTTAACCTTTTATTACTTTCTGTTCTATTAATTATAAGGGGAGGGGCATATTGTTTCGTTTTCCCGCATTTGCTTTCTCGTAGACACCGCTAATTAATTTATGTTTTGTTGCATACCCGCTAGGGAGTTTGCCGTAATTTTGTTTTAGTTTGAGTTGACCCGAGACCGTGCCTCAAATCGTTAATATATATATAATATAATATAATGTTAATTGTTATACCGTACCCTCTGGTGGCGCTTGAGTACGTCCGTCGGTAAATTTATTTTTATTTTTTTAAAATTAAACTGTAATCATTCCGCTAATACTGATTTAATTGTTTATGCCATTTGCGCGAGGATTTACTATCGAAGTTTGTCGAAAAAGCTAGTTACTGTCAAGAGTGATGGTGGAAGGCGAGAGCAATTCTCTAAAAGGGAAGAATTAGAAAAATTCAATAGGTATTTTAAGAATCTAATGAATAGGGAAAAAACGGCAGCAAATTATTGTAAAGTAATTGTAAAAATTCACAAAAAGGGCAGGATCTACAGAATAAAAAGGTACAATGCGAATCTAAAGAATCTTAAGTAGCAGACCAATCTACAAAATTGGAATTAGAAAAATGGTAAAAGTTGACGGAAAAATGGGCAAAAAGTAAAAATGGAATTAATCCGAAACATAAAACAAGTTAAAAAGTAATCGTAAACGATTTACATAAAGCGCATTTCCACTTGCATTCATTTCCCATTTGTAAGATGCAACTTCTGTTAAAATCGTAAAAATCCGCCCACAAATATGAAAGATAGCGTTGCACATGGGCAATCCATTGTTGACGTGCTACTTCAATTTCAGTTTATGAGAAGAATTTCATTTAAATGCTTTTTTAAATAAGAAAGTTTGAACTACGCATGCGCAAACCTAAATTTTAAAACTAATGTTAGATTTTCCTTTGTTCCAAGCGCCTAAGTATCAAATTTCACTTAAATAGTTCCATAGATAAAAAAGTTGGCACTGCGCATGCGCAAAATAAAATTTTGAAACTAGCGCTAGATTTTCCTTTATTCCAAGTGCCTATGTATCACATTTCATTTAAATTCTTCCATAAATAAAAAAGTTGGCACTGCGCATGCGCAAAATAAATTTTGAAACTGGCGTTTGATTTTCCTTTATTCCAAGTGCCTATGTATCAAATTTCGTTTAAATTCTTCCATAAATAAAAAAGTTGGCACTGCGCATGCGCAAAACCAAATTTTGAAATTGGCGTTTGATTTTCCTTTATCCCAAGTGCCTATGTATCAAATTTCGTTTAAATTCTTCCATAAATAAAAAAGTTGGCACTGCGCATGCGCAAAACCAAATTTTGAAATTGGCGTTTGATTTTCCTTTATCCCAAGTGCCTATGTATCAAATTTCGTTTAAATTCTTCCATAAATAAAAAAGTTGGCACTGCGCATGCGCTAAAACAAATTTTAAAATTGGCGTTTGATTTTCCTTTATTCGAAGTGCTTATGTATCAAATTTCTTTTAAATTCTTCCATAAATAAAAAATTTGGCACTGCGCATGCGCAAAACCAAATTTTGAAATTGGCGTTTGATTTTCCTTTATTCCAAGTGCCTATGTATCAAATTTCATTCAAATACTTTTATAAGTAAAAAAGTTTGCAATTCGGTTTATAAATGGTCGAGATGCGAAAAGGGCACTGTGAATTTTGAATCGATTCGATCCAACTTTTGGCATTGCGTATTATATGGCTAAATCAATGCCCATATTGAATTTCATGCAATTCAGTTCATAACTAACGGAGATGTAAAAGCGATCGAACATTTCTAAACAAAGTTATCGTTCACACGGACAGATAGATGGACAGACAGACAAAGGAACAGACGGAGAGACCAACCGGCAGGCGACAGATAGCAATGCAAAATTATAAACGATCTCTAGGATCGTTAATAAACGGCAAAAGTGTAAAATTATGGAACATGTAAAAAACGGTTTTTTTGTTTTTTTTACAATAACTTTTTTTGTAAGCGGTACAGAAAAAATTCCTTCCTTGGTACAAGACTCGACACCATAACGAACCAAATAGCGAAAAAAGTAGAACAATAGCTCTTAAGATAAAAAACTAGTAGCGTCGCAAAGTTAGCGGACGGACGGACGGACGGACGGACAAAGTGGCCACAATAGCGCATTTTTTTTATTTTTGTGGAAATGCGCTAAAAATGAAAGAATGTAAGGAATTGAAAAAATTTGAAGAACTTGAAACGTAAAAATGACAAGAATCCGAAGAATACGAAGAAACTGATGACGTATAGGTAAAATCGAAATAATCTCATAAATGCAAATAAGCGTCCGAAGAACATAAGAAGTCGTAGTAGTTTCTCAAGAATCTGAAGAGGCATATAAAACATCAAGGTAGTACCATTGAATTTATAACTATCAATTCAATGGTAGTACCACAGACAACATAGTATATGTTGTCTGTGGTAGTACTTATTACTATTCTAAAAGCAGCGATCGCGGAAAATGATCATAGTATTTAAGTCTAGCGCATTTTTTATTATTAAAGGTTGCTCAAATTTACAAGATCTGAATTATAATGCTAAATATGTACTGTCATTGCTGAAAACGAAAATACAATGGTACTATGATCATTTTAAGCGTTGAGAAATTTTGTTCGGAAGATAGTGCACACAGAGTTGCATAACTGTAGGCGTTCCCGTTCTCCTCTTACATTGCGTTTACATACTGTATTTAATTTGTGCTAATATGCATTATAAAGGTACCATTGCAATCTCTTTGGTAATCTTTTGTAGTTTAGATTAGCACATTACATTTTAATAATTAATCGAAGGCCACTTTTTTGAAATGTACGAGGTGGCAACACTGCAGTGGGTGTTTTGCTTTTGAAACGAAGTGGTTGTTTTGTTCTGTTCCACAATCGTGCGAGATTTTTGATGTGTACGATCAGCTGTGCAATTTTGTGATAAACACATGCGAACTTTCAAATGAAGTAACGCAGAACGCGTGAGTGATTCGTTATGCTTAAAGGCAGTGCTGCATTTTGATATAATTTCTTCAATAAAATTGCACTCATTATGGCTAAACGTCTAACTGAAGAAATGGTTATTGCCAGAAGTAAACTTTCAGACTTATCTAAAGTGAAACGCTTAAATTGTTGGTGAGTTCTTCACACAATCGGAATTTACAATTTCCACCGTTTGATTTACTTACAGGGGAAGTGAGTTAGTCGACGTATCGTTGCTTCGAAAGATGCCCAGTGTGGAAGTCCTATCATTAAGGTACTCAAATTGTTTTCGTAATAGCAATGCCCCATCCATAATTTAAACTTAAACAAAAAAACAAAACATGAATCATTGTAAGTTAATGCGTCTGTTTTAAAATGCCCTAAAAGGTATGCCAAAATCAAGGCTATTTTCTTCAGTGGGTTACTCTGGTTCGCCCACATTTCTTCATTTCATATATGTCATTGTGTTTTAATTATGTTTATAATCGCATATAAATAGATTATTCATTATTTACCACTAGAAATCTGCATAATTTTACATATTTTACACCTAGAAATCTGATTCTAATTGCATTTGTACTAATTTACTATGCATCTCTGAACTTGGGAGTTGATCAATCATTTTTTGTTTCCTTTATGTCTGTGTTACATAAGCATAGAGTGACAATACTATTAGAATTATATTATCGACACTACACTGTCAATCTTTATTCTTCACAAAATTAGCTTCTTTTGCATATTTAAACAAAAAAAGCAATAGAAAACGGAAAATTTGATCGATAATATGCTAGGCACCTGTTTTCTTATTTCTCATATGGAGTTCCACATGATTTCCTACTAGGACCTTCGCTTTATACTCGGATTTGATTTGATTGACAAATTTTATTGTTGTAATAGTAGTAGGTTGTGGTTTTCTCTTTCTAGCACAAACTTCGACTTTCGATTGTCAATAAATGCCTTCTTATTTTGAACAAATACACAATGAAAACACTTGTAAGTTTTGAATAAAAAAATTTTAATTTGTACAAATGCAAGGAAATTTGAAGGATATGCAGATTGTTAAAAAGCGGCAACTTATACAATATTTACATAGGGAAATTGTTAATAATTTGCTCACAGTTTACTGAATATGCAGTCGTGGTGAGAAGTAATGACCTCCCGGGCTCCCTTGGATACCTCAACTGTCGAAAACGTACTGAGAAAAATATGCCAGTTCCTCCGTGATTTAATTCAATTTCATTTCAATCCTCGGAACTTTTCCTCATTTTAAAAAGAAGCTCAAAACTTACAGGAGTATACTAATTCTGTGCTATGCTTGAGATAATAAAAGTTTAAATTTCTACCTGCTGATAATGTATACCTAAGGAAAGTGTAAGTATTGATCGAGGTATTTATAACATGATAGGAGATTGTATTGAGATATGTCATATCATGAAAAAGCAGGTACAGCCTCGGGTACAGCTCACTAATCATTACTGGTTATAATAATAATTACTTTACTTTCCGAATGATAAAAAGGTACTTTTGTATAGGGTACTCAATAATAGAAAACAAGTTTTAAAAGTTAGTAGGTATGCAAACATAAATGACGAGAGCGTATTTTCCTCCTAATAATATTATAGCTAGGACCAGGAAAAAATACCGGTAGGCACGAGATCCTTACCCCATTCTCTTTCAAATGAGCCGCCTATTGTCGAAGTCTATACAATTTAATAAAAAATAATGGAGCGTATACAAATTTTGAAATGGGAATTATTTTTACTCGAAGTTTCTACATATGAAACTTTTTTTAAATGCTTTTTTAAATAGCACTGCGCATTGTCTACATTAGAAATTTCATTGAATACCTTCATAAATAAAACATACAGCATGTGTAAAGAGCAGGTAATTTTAGTTTAATTCAAAGTGCCTACATATGATATTTTATTTAACTACTTTCGTAAATAAGAAAGTGGCCATTGCGCATGCGCAAAACCAATTTTGCAACTGGTGTTAGATTTGTCTTTATTCCAAATGTCTATGTATAAAATTTCATATAAATGCGTTCATAAATAAAAAAGTTGGCATTGCGCATGCGCAAAACAACATTTTGAAAACGTCGATCATTTTATTTATATTCGTAGTGTTTACATATAAAGTTTCATTTAAATATCTTCATAAATAAAAAAGTTAGCATTGTACATGCGTTAATCCAAATTTTTACACTGCGCATGCGCAAAACCAAAAAATATCTGTACGCACGGAATCCTAGGACCAAGCCCTTTCAAATGAGCTCCATATCGCCCAAATCAGTTCAGTGGTGTAGAAGGAGTACGTGTAACGGACGAACGGACGATAAAGTGCAGCCAATAGCGATTTTTTACTTTGAGGAAGATATGATGTAAAAAGAAACACATGGGCGTTAAGAAGTGCGACGAACTTTGGGCTCACGCACAATGGGTGAGCTTGAGGAATTAAATAACTATTAGTGTAAGAATAATGGCAATTTAATTAAATAAATAAACAAATTATGGCAAGTAAATAGAGCAGCGGGAGACGGAGGCAACCAGTTGTCGGCGGGAGGCTGGCGAAACGACAGGGACGGACGGACGGACTCGAGCGCTGGGGGATCGGTCTCGGTAGCCTCTGGGGTAAACTCAATCGGAGAAACGGCAACTTCAATAATTCTGCGGGTCCAGCAGATGGCGGTGGTCACTTTCGGCAAAACTAAAACAAAATTATGGCAGATTCCCTATCGGGAGCGTAAGCAATAAAGCACAAATCGGCGGATGCGGTGTAAAAGCAAATTCAAAATTTCGGTACTTACAAAACTTGATTGGTGAAAAATGCAGAAACAGAGAAGATTTAACTTACGGTACGCAAAATGGCGGTAGGTAGTTACAGAACTTACTAGTGACGGTAAAAATGCGAAAGATAAAACTTACGGCCTCGCTTACGGCAATTACAAACTGCAAAAGATGCCCACAAAATAAAGCGTTTACCTTATAAAGAAATCCGAATTTTGGCGAAGTGGAATAGGGAATTTCCAGCTCCTCGCTGTATATTTATACTAAAACGGTACAAATTAATGCGGTTTTTAATTAATTACTCGGCCTGTAGTTAACGGGAAAATATAAGATGAACATCGAACGTCCCGTCTTTTAAGCGCGCTCATTGACGACAATACAAAACGGAAACCAAAAGGCAGACAAATATTTCATAAGTAATATTTACACCAATGCAAAGACACGATACACGACAAACCTTTGTATTTTACACTGACTAATGAAAAAGTCACAAATTTTCTAGTATTAACTCGGTTGGATTTGACGAGGTGAGAGAACACCCTGTATCTTCGAAACGGCTGAGCCAATTTAAACAAACTTGGGTTAATTGAAAAGATTTATTCTTTGGCTATAAATATTATAATATTTGAAGTTTTGTTAGTTTCACTATCACCGATTGAGGGCTTTTTTCGACATTCCGACAGAAATGGTTAATTTTCTCAAAAAAATTAAATGCATTGGTTCGATTCATGAAAAAGTAGCTAAATGATGCCTAAACAAGCTCGCGAAAACAGCATCTCGATATCTTTAGATATGACATAGATATATATCGTGATGGTCAGCATTTCCAGTATTTACGGCGGCATTAAAAGCTTCCTTTTTTAAATCGATCCACCTTAGGACCATATAATAAAAATAATTCCGGAAAAATTAGCTTAAAAAAATAAAATTTTTAAAGTATAAAATTTTCTTTCGCCTAAATTTTAGGTTAGGAACAAGATATCGAGATGCGGTTTTCGCGAGTTTGTTTAGGCATCATTTAGTTACTTTTTCATGAAAAAAAAATCGAACCACCGCATTTAATTTTTTTCACAAAATTAACCATTTCTGTCGGAATGTCGAAAAAAGCCTCGAAAGCCCTCAAGCGGCGGTATGTGAAACTAACAAAAGTTCAAATATTATAATATTTATAGCCAAAGAATAACTCTTTCCAATTAACCCAAGTTTGTTTAAATTGGCTCAGCCGTTTCGAAGATACAGGGTGTTCTTTAGGGAAACCTTTGAATCCCCCCCCCCCCCACCGCTTCATTTTTTGAGATACAGGAAAAATTGCCAAACAAAAAAGGTTCAGACTGTCGTCGTCTTCAAAAACCGGACATTTTTTTGTTAGGTTAATATAGCGAAATTCACAGAAACATCACTTTTTTAGATTCCAGATTACAGTTACGCCCCTTAGCGACCATTTCAGAAATTTAAAAATATTTTCCAGGTTTTTCTTGTGGCCGTTTTAGTAATAACTTTTTTTACCGCAAGCCTCTACGAGGGACAGGTTCCCAGAGACAGTACCTCGCATTCTATTATTGTAAATCTCGCGCTCTGCGGTAACTATTACCGCCGTAAACGTTTTTTACAATAAACACTTTTTCATCAATGGAATACATCGTAAGTTTTGTAGTAAGTACAAATTAAAATTATTGACAGTTATCGTACCTTGTTTTCATGACTACCGTGATTTTTTAAACCCAGTACACATTTTGACTATAACTCTCGCCAGGAAAGATTGCCGGTCACAGCATACAGTGTATCGATTTACAATCTATGTTTTTCTTAAGATCCGAGCGACTTCCGGAACAGGATCGTGCCAATGTTAAACGAAAAGTCTTTTTGTTCAACATTGACACGACACTCTCCCGGAAGTCGCTCACATCTTTAGAAAAACATAATAATTAAACGTGCAACTAGACGTTAATAATTTGCATATCATAAAACGCGGAAAAAATCTTTTTTCCAATGGTGGCATTATGAACTCTCTAAGTTAATTTGGGGAGCAACAATCTGCGAAAAACTGTTTTCCTATATTAATTCCCTATGTTCGGTTTGAAAGTATTCACCCGGTGTCCCGGTATAATCTATTTTCACAAGAGCAGCATCAATTTGGGATGATTCACTCTTACAGCGTCGGTAGGATACGTTAAATACGTTCTCGCGTAAACGGGTAAAAATCGTAGTTTTTAGCGCATTTTTGCAAATTTATTTGTAAAAAGGAAGCTTTTAAGCCGGATTTATAGTTCCGTAACCGTAAGAACGTAAGAACGGAACGTTAACGAAAATTATACGATTTATAGTTACCGTAGTGGTAAGAGATGAGCTTGCGCATTAGTGCGAAACGAATTATGCCATTATTGCCATTGTATGTCATATGTCAGTAAGAGTAACGTGCATTTCAAAATAATTCAATAACAACAAAGTGTCAATAATATTATTGTAAATAAACGAAACGAACGTCAGG